GACAGTGGGGGGACTAGTGACAGTGAGGGGGGTGACTGGTGACAGTGAGGGGGGGTGACTGGTGACAGTGAGGGGTGGGTGACTGGTGACAGTGAGGGGGTGTGATTGGTGCCTACCTGTCTCTCTGCTTCCTCTCCCAGGCTGCTGCTCCTTCCCCTCCTGGCTCTGTGTGAAAGGAGTAAACAGGAAGTGAGGTCACTTCCTGGCCCCGCCTCTCCCATCACACAGAGCCGCATGGGAGAGGAAGCCGGAGACCTGGCAGAGAGCAGGTGAAGCTGCCAGGTCTCATGGGGGGGGGATGTGCAGAGCGGTAGGTTGTGGGGCCCCGCGCTGCATCAGGGGCCCCACAACCTATCGATTAAATAGTTTTTTATTATTTTGCCGTTCCAGTTGGAGAGATCTCTGATCTCTCCAGCTGGAGCATGGCTGTGCTGCCGGGCCCCTGACTGCCTCGGGCCCTCGGTCCATGACCGAAGTGCCCGAGTGGTCAGTCCCTGGATTATATGCTGGTAGTCCATGTTGGTTATATTCCTATTGGAAATGTTGCGGGTTACATTATATTGGTAGTCCATGTTATGGGTTATACTTGGTTGGTATGTTATGGGTTACATTATATTGGTAGTCCATGTTGCTGGGTTATATTCTATTGGTAGTCCAGTGTGCACTCTGGAATGCTCGCTCTATTTGTAGTAATATCAAATCTACAGCTATACATGACCTCCTCATCTCTAACTCTCTCACAATACTGGCACTCACTGAGACCTGGCTATCTCCATCCGATACCGCTACTCCTGCTTCTTTATGTTTCGTGGTCTACAGTTCTCCCATACTCCTAGACTTGACTGTAAAGGAGGTGGTGTAGGCATCCTTCTCTCCCCTCAATGTACCTTTCAACCTATCCTCCCTGCCCCTGCCCTATCCTTTACTTCCTTTGAAGTTCACACTGTTCGCCTTTTTAAGCCCACTCCTTTAAGAATTGCCATCATCTATCGCCCCCCCCGGTCACCCTAAACTATTCATTGAACACTTTTCCTCCTGGTTACCCCACTTTCTTTCCTCTAGCACTCCCTCTCTCATACTTGGGGACTTCAATATCCCTATCAACAAGCTCAATTGCCCTGATGCCTCTCGTCTGCATTCTGTAACCTCCTCCTTTGGACTCACACAGATTTCTTCCTCAGCAACTCACACTGCAGGAAACACTCTTGACCTCATCTTCACCAATCTCTGTACTACCTCTGATCTCGCCACTGCTCCATTTCCTTTGTCTGACCACCATCTGCTAACATTTAACATCTGCATACCCCATACCAAAATCTCACCACCCAACCCCTCCCTGTCGGTGTCCCCCAAGGTTCTGTCCTCGGCCCCCTACTGTTCTCTATCTATACTGCCTCCCTTGGTAAACTCATCAGCTCTTTTGGCGTCCAATACCATTTATATGCAGATGACACACAAATCTACCTGTCCTCCCCTGATCTCTCTCCGCCCACCTTGACTCGTGTTTCTGACTGCCTCTCTGCTATTTCCAACTGGATGGCTGCTCACTTCCTTAAACTCAACCTGACCAAAACAGAACTTCTAGTTTTTCCTCCCTCAAGTGCTGCTACTCCTGTGTCTGTCGCCATCCAAGTCAACGGCGCTACTATCACCTCTACCTCCCAGGCTCGCTGCCTAGGAGTTCTTTTTGATTCTGATCTCTTTTACTCCCCATGTTCAATCGATAGCCAAATCCTGTTGCTTCCAACTCAAGAACATAGCGCGCATCCGCCCATATCTAACGCCGGACGCGGCTAAGGTACTGGTTCATGCTGTTGTTCTCTCTCGCCTTGACTATTGCAATCCCCTTCTCACCAGTCTTACATGTTCCCAGCTTGCACCGCTGCAATCTATAATGAATACGGCTGCGAGGCTTATTTTCCTGTCCGGTCGCACCTCCCACACCTCCACGCTCTGTCAGTCCCTGCATTGGCTTCCAGTTAGATATAGGGCCCAATTCAAAATTCTGGCGCTTGCTTACAAATCCTTACATAATGCTGCTCCAACATACCTATCCTCCCTCATACACAAGTATGTCCCGTCGAGACCCCTGCGCTCAGCCCAAGACCTACTCCTATCCTCTGCCCGGATCCCCACCTCTGATGCTCGCCTTCAAGACTTCTCCAGGGCTGCACCTATTCTGTGGAACTCACTTCCCTCCTCAATCAGACTTTCACCCAGCCTCCATTCCTTCAAAAAATCTTTAAAAACTCACTTCTTCATTAAAGCGTATCAATTAAACTGTCAGCAGGTTTCTCATCCCCCACCCCATGACTCCGTTCCTTCACCTGTCAAAAATGACCTACCAAGCACTCAATAAACCCTTCTGTAACAAACTATTTAATTCCCCTACTTTAACCCTTTGTGTCAATATACCCCACTCCCTCTAGAATGTAAGCTCATCGAGCAGGGCCCTCAACCCCCTCTGTTCCTGTACGTCAGTGGTCTGATCTCAATTATGTGTCTGTTAGTCCACCCATTGTACAGCGCTACGGAATTTGTTGGCGCTATATAAATAATAAAATAATAATAATAATAATTGGTTATATTCTATTGGTAGTCCATGTTATTGGTTATATTCTATTGGAATGTTATGGGTTACATTATATTGGTAGTCCATGTTATTGGTTATATTCTATTGGTATGTTATGGGTTACATTATATTGGTAGTCCATGTTATTGGTTATATTCTATTGGTATGTTATGGGTTACATTATATTGGTAGTCCATGTTATTGGTTATATTATATTGGTAGTCCATGTTATTGGTTATATTCTATTGGAATGTTATGGGTTACATTATATTGGTAGTCCATGTTATTGGTTATATTATATTGGTAGTCCATGTTATTGGTTATATTCTATTGGTATGTTATGGGTTACATTATATTGGTAGTCCATGTTATTGGTTATATTATATTGGTAGTCTATTATTGGTTATATTGGTATGTTATTGGTTATATTCTATTGGAATGTTATGGGTTACATTATATTGGTAGTCTATGTTATTGGTTATATTCTATTGGTATGTTATGGGTCACATTATATTGATAGTCCATGTTATTGGTTATATTATATTGGTAGTCCATGTTATTGGTTATATTCTATTGGTATGTTATGGGTTACATTATATTGGTAGTCCATGTTATTGGTTATATTCTATTGGTATGTTATGGGTTACATTATATTGGTAGTCCATGTTATTGGTTAATATATTGGCATGTTATGGGTTACATTATATTGGTAGTCTATGTTATTGGTTATATTATATTGGTATGTTATGGGTCACATTATATTGATAGTCCATGTTATTGGTTATATTATATTGGTAGTCCATGTTATTGGTTATATTCTATTGGTATGTTATGGGTTACATTATATTGGTAGTCCATGTTATTGGTTATATTATATTGGTATGTTATGGGTTACATTATATTGGTAGTCCATGTTATTGGTTAATATATTGGCATGTTATGGGTTACATTATATTGGTAGTCCATGTTATTGGTTATATTCTATTGGTATGTTATGGGTTACATTATATTGGTAGTCCATGTTATTGGTTAATATATTGGCATGTTATGGGTTACATTATATTGGTAGTCTATTATTGGTTATATTGGTATGTTATTGGTTATATTATATTGGCATGTTACGGGTTACATTATATTGGTAGTCCATGTTATTGGTTATATTGGCATGTTATGGGTTACATTATATTGGTAGTCCATGTTATTGGTTATATTATATTGGTAGTCCATGTTATTGGTTATATTATATTGGTATGTTATGGGTTACATTATATTGGTAGTCCATGTTATTGGTTATATTCTATTGGTATGTTATGGGTTACATTATATTGGTAGTCCATGTTATTGGTTATATTATATTGGTAGTCCATGTTATTGGTTATATTCTATTGGTATGTTATGGGTTACATTATATTGGTAGTCCATGTTATTGGTTATATTATATTGGTAGTCCATGTTATTGGTTATATTCTATTGGTATGTTATGGGTTACAATATATTGGTAGTCCATGTTATTGGTTATATTCTATTGGTATGTTATGGGTTACGTTATATTGGTAGTCCATGTTATTGGTTATATTCTATTGGTATGTTATGGGTTACATTATATTGGTAGTCCATGTTATTGGTTAATATATTGGCATGTTATGGGTTACATTATATTGGTAGTCCATGTTATTGGTTATATTCTATTGGTATGTTATGGGTTACATTATATTGGTAGTCCATGTTATTGGTTAATATATTGGCATGTTATGGGTTACATTATATTGGTAGTCTATTATTGGTTATATTGGTATGTTATTGGTTATATTATATTGGTATGTTATGGGTTACATTATATTGGTAGTCCATGTTATTGGTTATATTCTATTGGTATGTTATGGGTTACATTATATTGGTAGTCCATGTTATTGGTTATATTATTTTGGTATGTTATGGGTTACATTATATTGGTAGTCCATGTTATTGGTTATATTCTATTGGTATGTTACGTGTTACATTATATTGGTAGTCTATGTTATTGGTTATATTGGCATGTTATGGGTTACATTATATTGGTAGTCCATGTTATTGGTTATATTATATTGGTAGTCCATGTTATTGGTTATATTATATTGGTATGTTATGGGTTACATTATATTGGTAGTCCATGTTATTGGTTATATTATATTGGTAGTCCATGTTATTGGTTATATTCTATTGGTATGTTATGGGTTACATTATATTGGTAGTCCATGTTATTGGTTATATTATATTGGTAGTCCATGTTATTGGTTATATTCTATTGGTATGTTATGGGTTACAATATATTGGTAGTCCATGTTATTGGTTATATTATATTGGTAGTCCATGTTATTGGTTATATTATATTGGTATGTTATGGGTTACAATATATTGGTAGTCCATGTTATTGGTTATATTCTATTGGAATGTTATGGGTTACATTATATTGGTAGTCCATGTTATTGGTTATATTCTATTGGTATGTTATGGGTTACATTATATTGGTAGTCCATGTTATTGGTTATATTCTATTGGTATGTTATGGGTTACATTATATTGGTAGTCCATGTTATTGGTTATATTATATTGGTAGTCCATGTTATTGGTTATATTCTATTGGTATGTTATGGGTTACATTATATTGGTAGTCCATGTTATTGGTTATATTATATTGGTAGTCCATGTTATTGGTTATATTCTATTGGTATGTTATGGGTTACAATATATTGGTAGTCCATGTTATTGGTTATATTCTATTGGTATGTTATGGGTTACATTATATTGGTAGTCCATGTTATTGGTTATATTATATTGGTAGTCCATGTTATTGGTTATATTATATTGGTATGTTATGGGTTACAATATATTGGTAGTCCATGTTATTGGTTATATTCTATTGGAATGTTATGGGTTACATTATATTGGTAGTCCATGTTATTGGTTATATTATATTGGTAGTCCATGTTATTGGTTATATTATATTGGTATGTTATGGGTTACAATATATTGGTAGTCCATGTTATTGGTTATATTCTATTGGTATGTTATGGGTTACATTATATTGGTAGTCCATGTTATTGGTTATATTATATTGGTATGTTATGGGTTACAATATATTGGTAGTCCATGTTATTGGTTATATTCTATTGGTATGTTATGGGTTACATTATATTGGTAGTCCATGTTATTGGTTATATTCTATTGGTATGTTATGGGTTACATTCTATTGGTAGTCCATGTTATTGGTTATATTCTATTGGTATGTTATGGGTTACATTATATTGGTAGTCCATGTTATTGGTTATATTCTATTGGTATGTTATATTGGCATGTTATGGGTTATATTCTATTGGAATGTTATGGGTAACATTATATTGGTAGTCTATGTTATTGGTTATATTCTATTGGTATGTTATGGGTTACATTATATTGGTAGTCCATGTTATTGGTTATATTCTATTGGTATGTTATGGGTTACATTATATTGGTAGT